CATTTCGAAGTCCATATGTTCATGACCCGATTCATATAAATCATGTATAATTATTTTAAATTCATATTAACCCCTCCTACAGAATACAGTTGAAATCGGAAGTTTACATACACTTAGGTTGGAGTCATTAAAACTCGTTTTTCAACCACTCCACCAATTTCTTATTAACAAACTATAGTTTTGGCAAGTCGGTTAGGACATCTACTTTGTGCATGACACAAGTCATTTTTCCAACAATTGTTTACAGACAGATTATTTCACTTATAATTCACTGTATCACAATTCCAGTGGGTCAGAAGTTTACATACACTAAGTTGACTGTGCCTTTAAACAGCTTGGAAAATTCCAGAAAATGATGTCATGGCATTAGAAGCTTCTGATAGGCTAATTGACATCATTTGAGTCAATTGGTGGTGTACCTATGGATGTATTTCAAGGCCTACCTTCAAACGCAGTGCCTCTTTGCTTGACATCATGGGTAAATCAAAAGAAATCAGCCAAGACCTCAGAAATAAAATTGTAGACCTCCACAAGTCTGGTTCATCCTTGGGAGCAATTTCCAAACGCCTGAAGGTACCACGTTCATCTGTACAAACAATAGTACGCAAGTATAAACACCATGGGACCACACAGCCATTATACCGCTCAGGAAGGGTTCTGTCTCCTAGAGATGAACATACTTTGGTGCGAAAGTGCAAATCAACTACGGTTTGCAACTGCACATGGGGACAAAGATCGTACTTTTTGGAGAAATGTCCTCTGGTCTGATGAAACAAAAATAGAACTGTTTGGCCATAATGACCATTGTTATGTTTGGAGGAAAAAGGGGGTTGTTGCAAGCCGAAGATCACCATCCCAACCGTGAAGCACGGGGATGGCAGCATCATGCTGTGGGGGTGCTTTGCTGCAGGAGGGACTGGTGCACTTCACAAAATAGATGGCATCATGAGGAAGGAAAATTATGTGGATATATTGAAGCAACATCTCAAGACATCAGTCAGGAAGTTAAAGCTTGGTCGCAAATGGGTCTTCCAAATGGACAATTACCCCAAGCATACTTCCAAATTAGTGGAAACTATGGCTTAAGGACAACAAAGTCAAGCTATTGGAGTGGCCATCACAAAGCCCTGACCTCAATCCTATAGAACATTTGTGGGCAGAACTGAAAAAGCGTGTGCGAGCAAGGAGGCCTACAAACCTGACTCAGTTACACCAGCTCTGTCAGGAGGAATGGGCCAAAATTCACCCAACTTATTGTGGGAAGCTTGTGGAAGGCTACCCGAAACGTTTTACCTAAGTTAAACAATTTAAAGGAAATGCTACCAAATATGAATTGAGTGTATGTAAACTTCTGACCCACAGGGAATGTGATGAATGAAATAAAAGCTGGAATAAATCATTCTCTCTACTATTATTCTGACATTTCACATTCCTAAAATAAAGTGGTGATCCTAACTGACCTAAGATAGAGAATTTTTACTAGGATTACATTTCAGGAATTGTGAAAAACTGAGTTTAAATGTATTTGGCTAAGGTGTATGTAAACTTCAGACTTCAACTGAATGCTTTGGCAAGATTTCGAGTGATTAAACATACATCAAAATATTTGCTAAAAAAATAATAAAATATGTTGGCAAAGACTCCAGTGGTCATACATTTCATAGATTCACCAAACATCTGTTATTATTCTATGTTTCATTATTCCTGGTAGATACCACTGATTATGACTGCAGACAGAGCCCAGAGAATAGGATGGTGCAATATTGAATTAGTCATATTTTGATAAGGTGCATGCATGGGGATGTCCATGTCACCCAGAGATGTGCCCATGCTGTAGAGATACACCTAGCGGACTGAAACTTCACTGTTGTAGGCATAATACAGCTAGTGCTATCTAGACCTGCGCTGGCATACAAATCCATTACATTAGCTACCTAAATGTGACGTAAACTCAACTGAGGAGTAATAGAGAATGGAGACTTTTAACTTGAAAACGTGCAGGATACCTCTTTCCAGTTTCCCTGACTTCCATTTTTTTTATACTGTGTTATGCTTGTTTGCGTAGCACTCCTCACAGGCCGTTTGGTGTACCTTTTTTTAAAACTGCCAAAACTCTGAAAGGTATTATTGTACTTCAGAATTGCAACATAAGATTTGTTTAACCCTAAAATGTTAGTCCGTAATCGTAGCATGGTGTTTGTATGTTCACAGATGAAATTTCACCTTTACATTTCATGTTTCACGCATTACTTTTCTTACGATCCTAAGGATATGTACATTCAATCTTTTGGCAGGTATCTAGCTCCATACATCTCTCCCTGTCAAACATATTCCGCGTGATACCATAACGTGCCGGGTATGGACGCATTCAATTCTACAGCGCGGATGGCTTGAGCGAGGATTTTCGTTTGCAGGATAGGTTGACCGCAGTTTCGACATGGTGGGATCTTTTTGTGTCGGTATAATTAATTGTGCGAGAAATGGCGGTGGAAATGCCTTTATGCGCAAATATTGATATAATAACCATCATATCGAAAGTAAACTTGGTGTCACACGATGATATGTTGTGTGGTCCTCCCACTACGATGCTCCTTACCAATAAATATCGAGGATCTTATTCTGGTGACATGATGATCGATGCTTGGCTGCCGTTTGACAAATACAAATAATTTAATAATAATAATAATATCCATAATAATCTCATAATGTAGGTAGCCTAACTGCACTGTATCTGCGAGCTGTTGGTTAGAGCTCATGTGCCAAGACCAGAGTGGGCACATTTGCTATATAATGCAACAGTTTTTGTGACAAAATCAAATAGAGTTGAACATGCAATGGAAACCCATTTAACTTGTATTTTTTATTCGGTACATTGCAATTTAACAGCAAACGTTATTTTTATGTGCACTGCGTCATCACGCACAGCCAGTTATCCAACAATAAGTCATTTTGATGGAAACACATCTCTGGTAGGAAAATGCGAATATTGTTTTATGCAGATTTTTAGAATATTCATATGAAAATCTGTTGCCAATTAGATGGAAACCTAGCTCCTGTCACATTTGTTCTACATTGTATATGTGGTATAGCTTTTTAAAAAGACCATAGAGTTCTCTTTGAGATGCTCAGCTATATAGAATGAATAAATACTGATAATGAATGAGGTTGTAGAAATGTGGTCATAATTCGTGTTAAAGGGGAAATCCTACAGATTCCCATATTTCAATGATAAACTAATTTAGATCAGAGAGGTGTGTTGTAACTGTTGCCAAATAATGACATCAACATATTTTGCTAAGAATATGAGAGTAGCCTGAATCCCATTGCGAGTCTCGAACACAGGCCACCAGCACCAATGACAAATGCCCTAACCACTGTCCCAATACGGGATATCTCTAGGACATGTGCTTATTGGGCCCTGTCCTGTCCAGAAGAAACCCTACCCCCTCCTCCCTAGGCACTTGTGTAGATCTGAAACAACTTGATAGGTGTAAGGCTGTAAGCAATAGGATGAATGCACATTGAAGTAAATCTCAGCTCTGTTAAAACTTGTATTGATCATAGTGATTCAGGAGTATCATTAAAACAGGTTAACATGCCCCACCAACATTAGACAACTATACGGAAAGCCCTTAAATTGCTGAAATAAGTAAATCAAATAAATGATGAGAATAGTCAGATTAACCAATATATGACACGGACATGGTGGCGTAGCAGGAAGATCGGCATACCGTGAACCAAGAGGTTGTAAGTTTTAATCCCAGGTGAAGACTGTTGAATAATAATTACTATATAAATGAACATGCACAATGCAATCATGTATGTCAAAGTGTGTCAAATATGTAAGTTGAAAACACTGTATGTTAAAAGCACTGTATGTGTGAGTATCCCTAACCTTGAAACAGACAAAGTGCTACGAATGGATCAGTGGTTCACCAATCAGGGTCTTGATTGGCTCGGCAACAGTAACAAACCATGATGTGTAATGAAACCATTTTTTTGGTGGGGATAACGTTTCTTTGGTTTCATCAGGCGACTTCACGACAACTGATACACATAAATGTTCTTGCAACGTTCCCATGAAACGTGTCTAGAACATTAATATCTTGTGTTCTGAGAACATGGCAACCATGTTCTGTGTATGTTTGGTGGGACGGTGATGGAATATTATCCTAACCCACAGAAAACTGGACACATTAATGTTCTTGCAACGTCCCATGAAACGTATCTAGAACATTAGTATTGTATATTCTGAGAACATGGTAACCACAATCTGGGTATGTTCTGTTTGACATTAAGGGAATGTTCTCCTAACTCTAACGCCAAAACATGCTAACATAGATAGAATGTTCCCCTAACTAACAGAATACTGGAAACGCAAACATTAGAGTAACATTACAAAAACGTTCTCTCTCCCTAGAATTGTTAGCTGGGATACCGTACACTTTTGAAAGTAGTAAGTCACACAAGAACAGAACAGATGTTGTGCCCAAACAGAGTTGACAGGCACTTTAATGTCTTTCATAAGAGCATATTGTGTTTCATATTGTGTTTCTGCATCAGATGGATCAGGATGAAGGAGTTTCGAGTTGCACTCATAAACATGCATATAATATCAAAGGATCCCAGCTGTCTGAAAGACCTCTCTAGAGAGCCAGGTGATTAAATCTTGCTCTCTGCAGGCGTATCACACAAGATTTAAGCCACTCCATCAAATGGGTCCCATTGCCTGGGTGATTTGTTACTGATCAGACGGTGAAATTGTATCTTCCTCTAAGTGGGGATGTAATCAGTGCCACACACCTGTGACTCCAATACCCTTGTTTTAGTTCTTCTGAGAATCACAATCAAAAGTGTTCAAACTAACTACAGTGCAACCGTTTTCTCTGACACATTGTCTGCTGAGGTAAGCCTATCTACCAAATGAAAGAGTGTACTAAAGATCCAAACATATTGGATAGTGTAGGAAAGGCATATGACGTTATAAGGAGGCAGGATCACTACTTGACCACTAGATGGCATTGAACGCTCATGTAATATGAAGGCACTACAGGGAAAGAGTAAGATTTGGAGACAGAGGTACAGATGACATCGTTCATGGGGTAGAGAGAGAGGAACTCACCTGAAGTCTCTGCTCTCTCAATGGGCCCTCCACCTCCACCATTCAAGCTGGCTGCATGGCCATTGAGGAGCATGTGGTTCTGGCCACTGGAGGACCGGAGGACTGAGAGGAGGTTCCTATGGAGGTGGTGGTGGTGGTGGTGGTGGTGAGGAGTCGGCACTGGCTTCAGCAGCTCCAGAGGAGAGAGGAGAGGCTGGATGACCGACCTGCCCCACTGGCCCTGCTTCTTCTGGGGACACTGAGGGGCCTCACTGGGCCCCTGGAGACTACCAACCATCATCTCTGTCATTTTCTCACTAAGCCCTGCTTCGCTGTGGCTACTCTTCATTATCCTCCGCTTGTTGAATTCCTCTTCTTCCTCATCTTTGTAAAACACATAGCTCTCGAGTGCACAATCTCCATTGTGAGCTGAGGAGTCATAGTTGTGTTGGTCCTCCTGTTCTGTGGGCATCTCCAGGTCACCAGTGCTAGATCCAATCTCAGACAGTTCAGCCGTGTGTTGCCCAGTGGGTGCCTGCAGCCTGTTGCTATTGGAGGAGAGGGAGCCATTACACACACTGCTGTGCTGTTGGAATAACCCAGTCAATCCCCCTTGAGATCTGTCCATGTGGGCTGAGCCAGCTTGAGGCGACAGCACCCAATCTGGCCTGAGAGACAGATCCAGAGGCTCATACTGGGACTTCCTGGTCCTGGGGGTGACTGCAGAGCCACCAGTACCTGCCTCCACCTCACTGCCCCGGTCACTCCCCCTGACTCCAACATGGTCCTCCCCCTCAGAGCTCCCCTGTCCTCCCCCCTGAGTGCTGACCCTACCTCCCCCTGCCCTTCTCTTTCTGTCCCCTCTCAGCACACTGGACGTCAGGCCGTTGATGAAGGTCTGTATGGATTGATGAAGACCCTGTGGGTTCACACTGTTGTCCTCCATAGCTGGAGGTCCTCCATAGGCCTGGTGCAGGTTGGAAGGGTTAGGCAGGTTGGGTGCTAGCCTGTCCATGTGCAGAGTTGCTGGGTTTCTTCTGTTCTCATCAGGGCCCTCCAGCCCACTGTAGAGGCCAGAAGTAGTGCTCCGGTCCTTGGGGCTGGGGGGCTGTGGGGACGAGGGGTCTATGTTGTCCCTGGTGTCGTGGTTCCACTGGGTGTGGAGGGGGTAGCCCTCCAGACGGTAACTGAGAGAGGCTGACTTTGTGCTGATGTAGTCACTGGGAGGACAACTGTAGGGCTTCTTCTCACCTGTTAGAGCCACAAGACAGAACAGTAGCACAGCCTGAATCAGACAGTCTCGATTACCAGTCTTTCACATTCATGTTTCTCTGGATAGTTGTAAGTATGTGCTATATTTCAGAGACAATTGTCTGACTTGTACGACTAAATCATTGGCATACTGAGAACCAACCTAAAGAACCTGAGCGATTGGATCACCTCTGTGAACTTGGGAAATGTGTGTGTAAATATGGCCGCCATTTCTAAACATAAATAATGTGTGCAGCGCCACACAATGCTGAGTTGAATGATTTAAGTCGTGCTCTGCAGTAAATCAGGCTTGTAATCAGCTTTCAGCCCAAGCAATACATCATCGCACAGTATGGAGAGCAGAGCACCGTACGCAATGAATATACTCAAAGATGTTAGCAGCAAATAAGATTATTTCTAATGACATACTGTAGTAGCTATCTTCTAAATGAGAAGAAAGAGGCGCACGTGTTGCAGACAGAGGGCCCCATTCTATCGAAAGCAACTAACTGGGTTTCCAAGTCAAAAATAACATTATTTCTCTGCAATGAGAGAATTTCAGTTGAGTTCATTTTTGTTTCTTTCTGTAAACTTTGTTTGGTTGAGTTCATGAATCAAACTGCCGATTTTTGCAGTGAGGAAAATGATATTATTGGCTTATCCCCATAAACTTGGTAAGCAACTTGGATTGACTTCTCACCTGTACGATGACCATATTGTATATATGTCCATGAAGCTTGTGTTAAAGTCATTTGGAGTTGGATGTGTACCTGTCCTAATATGGACACTGTATACATGAACACATCCCTCCAGGTGTCATGTTAGGTTGAGCTGTGTAATAACAGCCTTGCCTATAGGGTTACATAAACTGCCACATATTTGAGTTAGTGCTTGTCTGAGAGATCCTTGGTTGTGTCCCAAATGGCACCATATCCCCTATATAGTGCACTACTTTTGGCCAGGGCTCTGGTCAAAAGTAGTGCTGTATATAGAGCATAGTGTGCCATTTGAGACACACCCCTTGCCTTCCACTGTCTTTAAGCAGCCCAGCTGTTTCGGTGCCATTCCAATTACTGTAAAAGTCATCCGCCGCCATTAAGCCACAAATATTGGCAGTTTATTGTCCAACACTCTCCTGGCATTTGAAGGTCAGGTCATACATTATGCTGTGTCTTTTAGGGATGTGGCGTCTGGGATGGTGAGATAAAGCCCAGCGCCGTTAATTTAATTCTATGCATATTGATGCCTTATTGTTCTTCTTTAACAGACTAATATCTGACTTACAACAGTGATTCCTTCCCCTCAGCTGAACTATACATTTTATAACAACTCCAGATCAGACCTGAACCTGAGGTAATTCTCCCTGAGGTCAATCTCTAATGATCTAGAGTTGTTTGTTATGCTGTCTCCAACTTTAATACCAACGCCATCCGTCATTTAATGATGAATTCTTTTATTTTTAAAGTGCCTTTCTTTAAACATTAGAATTTTAAACAACATAATATACCTAGAGGAGAGAGGAATATAAATTAATTGAATGGAGCAGATCATAAAGCACCACACTAATAATGAGTTAGAAAGCACTGCTAGTCATATAAATGACCTTGAACTACACACAGTCAACTACACACAGTGTGTGTGTGTGTGTGTGTTCAGACAGGACAGTGAGCGGGAAGGAGCCTCATCAGAAACACCACACCCATTGTCTCCCCACTGGGCACAGACGTCAGGTCAACGTCTAGTTTTGATTTACATTAGATTGAGTTGTCAACTAATGTGAATAACAAAAAATGTCACCATGTTATTGGATTTAGGTAAAAAATTCCCTTACGTTGATTACTTTTAGCAAATCCAATCAGTTTTCCACGTTGATACAATGTCCTCACATTGAATATTTTGGTTGAAATAAAGTGGAAACAACGTTGATTCAACCAGTTTTTGCCCAGTGGGTCCAGTAACAAACAAAAAAACTCCTACAGCTTAACAGCAGTCTTTCAGACAGATAGACACACTAGCTAGGTTTCTATCCAATTGGCGACAGATTTTCATGCAAATATTTAAAAATCTGCATAAAGAAAATATGCGCAGTTTCCCACCAGTAGTGTATTTCCACCAAACTGGCTTGTTGCGGATACAAATCTAAAAATGACATTACCATGAAATTACCAGCAGGCCTAAAATGCAGAAAACAGACATATGTGACCTCATCTTTGGCCACTGTCTCTTTCATAAACACATTTGCTCGCTAATACCCCCCAGAGCAGCAAAACCAAACAAAGACTCAACACCCTTTTCTCTTGTCTTTGGACGGGTGCCATCTTTGTAATTGCGTGGTTCATGCTAACTTAATCAGTTTTATATTTACTTACACTGCTGAGGCCCACATTATGTGTGAGAGTAATTTTAGCGCTTCGATTGATCAACCAAACTCCAATTACTGTATCATTACAGGGCCCTGCCTCTCTCACCTTACACAGAGAATCATACAATGAAGTGGTGCATATAAGTTATCCAGCCTGTGATTAGAGATGCAAAATAAGAACTCAAATAACGTGCTGTGGCAAAGCATGCAGCTGGTGGGGAAAGTGATTCATTTCATATGGAAATTGCACTCTTTATTCAATGTATTCACCACCCATGTATACAGACACACATGCACAAAAGCACACATGAGCGTGCACACACACACGCATTATATATATGTTATATTATAAAAGTATGCATGCAGTATAAACTAAAGCCCCTAAATGAATAAACCTAGGTGGTTTGCTTTAAGATGAAACCGTCTGAGAGGAAGAGACACACAAGACTGCTGGGGAGAAAATAAGTGCACCAGATGTTCTTTGATGTTTATAATAGCATATATTATTAATATTAATTAGACCATATCGTCAATGTCGCATTTGGGACGTTTCCAAGTCAATTAAGCCAAATGGCATTCAGGAGACGTGGAACAATATTTCAAGGCAGGTGTTCACAACTCCCACGGTAAATCTTTTTATCAACGGCTAGGAAAACAAGCATTTTGAGCTTCATTTGAGCCTCATACCTCTTATCTGCAATAATAATTAAAAAGAGGATTAAGGGACAGAAGTGAGAATGGGCAGTCAAGCCAAAAGGTAATCCGGTTTACAAATCAGAAATCAGCAGCGTTCAAATCTACTTATGTAGGCCCAGTTTGTGCATTTTAAAAACCCCAGCTATGGTACAAATTTAAAGGGATTGTTCAGCGAAATTACAAATGTAGATGTTTTATAAACACGTGCTTTTGCTGAACTATCCCTTTAAGCATCATCAGATGGAGCTAGAAGTTAGAACGATTAAATACAGTTACACTGATTTCTATCCCCCTAAACATGATCCTTCCTTGTCTCTCTGTAACCACTCGTAACGTGTTAACATCTATACAGTAAAAGTAGCGTGAAGGCTGGGGAAGGGAACAAAGACTAAGTGAGGACGACATCATTACATGGTGTCTGCTCATTGACCTTGGGGTTAAGAGTTTGAATAGGACTAATGAATGACTGTCAGAGGATTTCAGGCATGTTTATGTTCCCAATTCAAATCCGGATGCCTCTAAGGCACTCCCATTAGTTTATATTTTTAAAACAAGTCATTATTCTAAGATTAGAATTACATTTTTTTCATCTGTCTTGATTAGATTTTAAGAGCACCATTCTCAACACTAGCTAGTATCCATATGAGTAAACAGACCATAATCTAACATGTTGACACTTGTATCACTACTGTATTTGGACAACTTTATCTGCATGTCCTGTATCTAGCAGAGCATTCGCTAACTCTGACAACTGTATTCGCTATCCATATTGGAAACATCAGTATAACTTCATGACTACAGCCGTTTGGATAGGAATAAAACGGCCACTTATTCAGGCCTAATCAATGTGTTTCAAGCTGAAACATCTGGCAACAATGATAATTCCTCAACATCTCCTGAATTAGAACTCCTCCAGCCACTGTAATACTCCAGCCCATCGAGACACACTCGATCAGTTAGCAGGCGCAGCAAACTTATCCCATTCCTAAAGCCCCTCATCAAGACTTGCACTTAGTGCCTGTATGTTCTCCATATGTGTAGGATTTACCTATCTGTCCCGCAGCAGACCTGCGTGTTGAGCCGGGGCCAGCAGTGTGTGATTGTGTTAATTAGTCTGTCATTGTGAGCACGGGGAGCAGCTGCAGAGGTCTCTGGGATATATTGTCAGAGCAAAACAATGCAGTCCTTAAGCCCCTGAGTGAGTCCTCCATTACACAGGAACTAGGGGAACAAGATGAGGAGGGGCGAGCCGGGATCCATCATTTAAAGAAGCACTGACGCCTGACCTTTAAAATGAATTAGTTTCCATTCTTAATATCGACTCAAATTACACTGATACCGAACATGGCAGCCCAGACTTCATCCGATTCATTCCCGGCTAGCTTTTACAAACATAGGCCTGTAGTAGTGGCTGGGGATATGGGCTGGGGACTGGGGAAGCAGGAAAAGCTGAAAATACCAAAGATTGTAGCTGTTTTGTAAAGGGCTGTGGCCGGATTACCCTTAAAATGCTGGTATTTACATGTACATACAAGTATAAGTAGACAATATGTCAACAAAACATTTAACAAGATTAGACCTGATCCATTTATCTCTGTTTCACGGCCTTCATTTGGGGAAACAGTGGATCAAATCCCCCAAAACCGTGTCAGAGACACTGACTCTCACCAACCCTGCTAGAAGATCAAACCTGGGTTCAAAGACTATTTGAAATCTTTCCAATACTTTTAGTGTTTGCTTTAGTCTACCTAGAGTGCTCCTGTGCCTGGTGGGAGTTTGCACTTTGGGGACTTTTCTATTGGTTCCATTGCAACATGCGAGCTCAATCGAGAACAGCTAAAGTATTTGAAAGAATTTCAAATAGTATTTGAACCCAGGTCTGTAAAAGATCCAGAATTCTAAGCTAAGAAGGAAATGAGCAAGCTTATATTTTTCTCTGAAAACACTAGATCTGCAGCTAGAATCCAGACAATGTGTTAACAGGATGCCATGACAAGAAAAGCATGCACCCAGGGAGTCAAATCATCAAAATCACCAGGTGGAACAGAAGACTATCAATAAAAATACCAGGTGGTATATCAAATCATAAAAATCACCAGGTGGTATATATCAAATCATTAAAAACACCAGATGGCAGGCATTAACATATTGTGCCCCGTAGGCAAGGCAAGGGGTCGGGATGGGACTGATATAAAATAGTAGAGGCTAATTATCTCTAGCTTTCAACATGACAACATTAAAGTTAATAAGAAAAGAAAGGCCTTGTTATTACTGATTATGTTTTTTGTATGGATATGCTGCTGTACTGACCCTGTGCTTCAAGGCAAGTCCACCTGAGTACATTAGTGAAGTTTAGCCAAAGGCCTAGTTTTATCTCCTGATGGAACAGTGCAGTTGTGTTCCATTCTATTTTATGCATGATGGGAGGGATAGCAAATGGTATACATTTGGAACATATGGCCGATTTATGGAAGTTCTCAAACATCCTCTCTATATAAATGTGCCCATTGAAGTCATCATATGCTGGTCATCTATTTGACCTTGACCCTGGATCTGAGGATACATCAATTACTGTAAAATATTGACCATAGAATATAGAATAAATAGATAGACCTATAACAAATATTTGAGAAAACCAGAAACAACAATGTCTTAAACAATCTGCAACCACTGAGTAAGGTAAGACGGTTATGTACCTGAGACTGGGGAGGAGGGTAGGATGCTGTCATCCTGGGTACTGCCAGTCTGAGAGAGGCATGGTCCTATGAGGCTCTCCTCCAAGACATGGCTCAGTCCTGGGCTACTAGGCCTACTAATAGCCTGTGTCTCTGGGTCGCTCACAGACGCTCGTCGCTCATCTAATGAAACCCTCCGCTCAGCCAGGTAGGCCCTGTGCTGTTCTTTAGCTGTGTATAGGTCTACCTTATCTACAGCCAGTCCTGGTGCCATGCCCTGCCAGCCTGGGTAGCTGTTGAGGTTGTCTCTCTCATTGGCAGAAGCCTGTAGTTGATACTCCATGCTGCTGGCGCTCAGAGGAGGCACCAGATTATTCAATCCCAACAAAGAGCGATTATTCTCCCCCTCTGTCATTGAATCATGTCCTGGTGCCAGCATCCTGCCCAGCATTTCTTTCACCTTCATCCCAATGCCAGTTGTGGCGAGGATCTGCTGGAACTCCGACTGGCCCACTCTGTCGGCGGAGAGGAACCTGCTGTGGAGGCTTGAGATGTACTGGGAGTAGAGGTGGATGTAGTGGGCATCCTGGGCTACGCTGGTCATGCTGACAGATACCCCCGGGTCAGCAGGGAGCTGCTTGGCCTTAGCAGCCAGCTTGTTGAGGTGGACCTTCATGTGGTTCTTGAGAAACCAGGGTTCTTTGAAGCGCCGGCTGCAGATCTGGCAGCAGTGTTCGAACGAGTCCTTGTGCTTACGCATGTGTCCCTTGAGGAACCAGGCCTGACTGAAGGTCTGACCGCATACCTCGCAGGGGAACTCCCCACCAGGGTGCTTCACGCCCCGACCGCTGCCCACAGCGGGCCTCTGAGTCTGGGCCGACTCTGAGGCGATGTGGGCCGTCTCCACATGGCTGATGAGCTCCTCCTCATGGGAGGTGGCGAACTCACACAGAGTGCACTTATAGGGCTTGTGGAGGATCCGGATGTGGCGCTCTAGCTCCTGCTGCTTCCTGAACTTGCCCTTGCAGAAGGAGCAGCGGAAGCCTGTGGAAGGCTGGGCCTGGGTGTGATCCTCCTGACCAGTGGTGGTCATCTTGGGGGAGGTGGATGGCAGTGATAGGGTCTCCACAGGGCCAGGACCTGTGAAGGTCAAGGGGAGCTGTGTGGTGGTAGAGGCAGGCTGGGGCTGCTGGGGCTGGGGGATGTGGGGTCGAGGTGGCTGGGGCAGACCACCAAGACCACCCCTGATGTGCCTGTCCCTCAGGATGGCCCTCTCTTCCAGCTCGTGGAGCAGCCTGTTCTCCTCTCTGATCCGGCCACGGCCTTTCCCAAGGTTGCCCTGCTTGTGAGTGCGCAGGTGGATCTTGAGGTTGCCCTTCTGTGCTGCCCGATGGTCACAGTAAGGGCACTTAAAGGGCTTCTCGCCCGTGTGCGTGCGCATGTGCAGCGACAGGATGCTGTTGAAGCGGAAGCGCTTGCCACACAGTTGGCACGGGTACTTCCTGTTCTTGCTTGTGTCTTCCTGGGTGCCGTTGACCTGGGTCATGTGACCCTGGTTCTGTACCCTCAGGAACTGAGGGAGGTGGTCCACCCTCCCATTGATACCACTCACAACCCTGGCTGAATCCATCAACTGATTGGCTAGCAGTGCCATCTGGCTCCTTCAGTGTGACTGTCCTCGTCCAATGGCGTGGCGTCTTTATCTTCTCAGGGATCTGTGGACTGTTACAGTATGGCGGTCAGGGATTGGATGTCCCAGAGTCCTTCAGAAGCTTCTGCTTGTGGTTGATGCTATAGCGACCTTTGATACCTTTTCCTCAGAGAGGGGAGTTGGACACACCTAGGCACATAATAGAGACTTCCACCTAAAAAGAGAAAAGGATAGAAAAAAGACACATAAGGCAAGCACATGAACATGAATAAGTGCAATAGAGCCCTAATATTACATACAACATTTACTGAAAACTCAAAGTGAAAAATATGAAATATTCTAGTGATGATTTGGTGGAAATGTTCTAGTTAAAGGCCCAGTGCAGTCAAAATTCATTTTTTTCTGTGTTTTGTTTATATTCTAAAAACAGCTGATGAAACTAACACTGTAAAGGTGTGAAAAAGTTGATCAGTGTTATTTGCTCATAGTTGCTGGTTGAAAATACAATCTACACAGGACCTTGTAATCAGCAGGTTTGAATGGGCGGGAGTTTTGGCTTGCCTGGTGACATCACCAGTCGGTAAATTGGATAACAGACCAATAACAAAGAGAGGTCAAAACCTCTCTGCCAATAACAGCTAGTTTTCAGTTTTCCCCTCCCCACTCAGACCACTCCCAGACAGTCCTAGAAAAATTATTGCTTGAAAAATAGTTTTTTGCTAAAAAGCTATTTTTGTTTTTGGGAAAACTATTACAGTAAGGTATTTAATTATTACCAAGAAATGTTTTGATATTGATACAAAAATGGCAGCATCGGGCCTTTAAACATATCTGACAAATTAAGTATGTACAGTGCCTTCGGAAAGTATTTAGACCCCTTGACTTTTTCCACATTTTGTTATGTTACAACTTTATTCTAAAATGGATTAAATAAAAAATTATGCTCAGCAATCTACACACAATACCCTATAATGACAAAGCGAAAACAGGTTTTTAGAAATAAAAAACAGAAATACGTTATTTACATAGGTATTCAGACCCTTTGCTATGAGACTCGAAATTGAGCTCAGGTGCATCCTGTTTCCATTGATCATCCTTGAGATGTTTCTACAACTTGATTGGAGTCCACCTGTGGGTAAATTCATTTGATTGGACATGATTTGGAAAGGCACACACCTGTCTATATAAGGTCCCACAGTTGACAGTGCATGTCAGAGCAAAAACCAAGCGGAATTGTCCGTAGAGCTCAGAGACAGGATTGTGTCGAGGCACAGATCTGGAGTAGGGTACCAAAAAATGTCTGCAGCATTGAAGGTCCCCAAGAACACAGTGGCCTCCATCATTCTTAAATTGAAGAAGTTTGGAACCACCAAGACTCTTCCTAGAGCTGGCCGCCTGGCCAATCTGAGCAATCAGGGGAGAAGGGCCTTGGTCAGGGAGGTGACCAAGAACCCGATGGTCACTCTGACAGAGCTCTAGAGTTCCTCTGTGGAGATGGGAGAACCTTCCAGAAGGACCACCATCTCTGCAGCACTCCACCAATCAGGCCTTTATGGTAGAGTGACCAGACGGAAGCCACTCCTCAGTAAAAGGCACATGATAGCCCGCTTGGAGTTTGCCAAAAGGCACCTAAAGACTCTCAGACCATGAGAAACAAGATTATTTGGTCTGATGAAACCAAGATTGAACTCTTAGGTCTAAATTCCAAGCGTCACATCTGGAGGAAATCTGGCACCATCCCTACGGTGAAGCATGGTGGTGGCAGCATCAAACTGTGGGGATGTTTTTCAGCGGCAGGGACTGGGAGACTAGTCAGGATCGAGGGAAAGATGAATGGAGCAAAGTACAGAGAGATCCTTGATGAAAACCTGCTCCAGAGTGCTCAGGACCTCAGACTGAGGCGAAGGTTTCAAATCAAAACAAATGTTATTGGTCACATACACATATTTAGCAGACGTTATTGCGGGTGTAGTGAAATGCTTGTGTTCCTAGCTCCAACAGTGCAGTAGTATCTAACAATTCACAACAATACACAAATCTAAAAGTAAAATAATGGAATTAAGAAATATATAAATATTAGGACGAGCAATGTCGGAGTGGCATTGACTAAAATACAGTATAATAGAATACAGTATATACATATGAGATGAGTAAAGCAGTATGTAAACATTATTAAAGTAACTAGTGTTCCATTATTAAAGTGGCCAGTGATTCCATGTCTATGTACATAGGGCAGCAGCCTCTAAAGAGCAAGCTTGAGTAACCAGGTGGTAGCCGGCTAGTGATGGCTATATAACAATAAATAAATCAATCAATCAATCAATCAAATGTATTTATTAAGCCCTTTTTACATCAGCAGATGTCACAAAGTGCTATACAGGATCCCAGCTTAACACTCTGATGGCCTTGAGATAGAAGCTGTTTTTCAGTCCCTTTGATGCACCTGTACTGACCTCGCCTTCTGGATTATAGTGGGGTGAACAGGCCGTGGCTCGGGTGGTTGATGTCCTTGATGATCTTTTTGGCCTTCCTGTGACATCGGGTGCTGTAGGTGTCTTGGAGGGCAGGCAGTGTGCCCCCGGTGATGCGTTGGGCAGAACGCACGTCCCTCTGGAGAGCCCTGCGGTTGCGGGTGGTGCAGTTGCCATACCAGGCAGTGATACAGCCCGACAGGATGCTCTCAATTGTGGATCTGTAAAAGTTTGTGAGGGGCCGAATTTCCTCAGCCTCCTGAGGTTGAAGAGGTGCTGTTACGCCTTCTTCACAACACTGTCTGTGTGGGTGGAACATTTCAAATTGTCAGTGATGTGTATGCCGAGGAAATTGAAACTGCAGTCCCGTCGATGTGGATAGGGGCGTGCTCCCTCTGCTGTTTCCTGAAGTCCACGATCAAATCCTTCGTTTTGTTGACGTTGAGGAAGAGGTTATTTTCCTGGCACCACTCCGCAAGGGCCCTCACCTCCTCCCTGTAGGCTGTTTCGTCATTGTTGGTAATCAGGCCTACTACTGTTGTGTCATCTGCAAACTTGATGATTGAGTTGGAGGCGTACGTGGCCGTGCAGTCATGGGTGAACAGGGAGTACAGGAGGGGGCTGACCACACACCCTTGTGGGGCCCCTGTTTTGAGTATCAGCGAAGTGGAGGTGTTGTTTCCTACCTTCACCACCTGGGGTCGGCCCGTCAGGAAGTCCAGGACCCAATTGCACAGGGCGGGGTTCAGACCTAGGGCCCCGAGCTTAATGATGAGCTTGGAGGGTTACTATGGTGTTGAAGGCTGAGTTATAGTCAATGAACAGCATTCTGACGTAGGTATTCCTCTTGTCCAGATGGGATAGGGCAGTGTGCAGTGTGATGGTGGACATCTTGAAGCAAGTGGGGACAGCAGACACTCCAGCCAGCTGGTCTGTGCATGCTCTGAGGACGTGGCTAGGGATGCCGTCTGGGCCGGGAGCCTTGCGAGGGTTAACACGCTTAAATGTCTTACTCACGTCGGCCACGGAGAACGAGAGCCGACAATCCTTGGGAGTGAGCCGCGTCGGTGGCACTGTGTTATCCTCAAAGCGGGCGAAGAAGGTGTTTAGCTTGTCCGGGAGCAAGACATCATGTCCACAACGTGGCTGGTTTTCCCTTTGTAATCCGCAATTGTCTGTAGACCCTTCCACATACGTCTCGTGTCTGAGCCGTTGAATTGCGACTCCTCTTTGTGTCTGTGCTGACGTTTTGCCTGTTTGATTGCCTTACGGAGGGAATAACTACACTGTTTGTATTCAACCATATTCCCAGTCACCTTGCCGTGGTTAAATGCGGTGGTTCGCACTTTCAGTTTTGTGCGAATGCTGCCATCTATCCACGGTTTCTGGTTGGGTAGGTTTTAATGGTCACTGTGGGGACAACATCCCCTATACACTTCCTGATGAACTCAGTCACCGTGCCCGTGTATACGTCGATGTTATTCTCAGAGGCTACCCGGAACATATCCCAGTCCGCGTGATCAAAACAATCTTGAACCATGGATTCTGTTTGGTCAGACCAGCATTGAATAGACCTTAGCACGGGTACTTCCTGTTTATGTTTCTGCCTATAGGAAGGGAGGAGCTTTGTTAAAATCCCCAGCTTCAATAAATGCGGCCTCAGGATATGTGGTTTCCAGTTTGCATAAAGTCCAGCGTAGTTCCTTGAAGGCCGTCGTGGTATCGGCTTGAGGGGGAATATATACGGCTGTGACTATAACCGAAGAGAATTCTCTTGGGAGGTAATATGGTCAGCATTTGATTGTGAGGTATTCTAGGTCGGGTGAACAAAAGGACTTGAGTTTCTGTATGTTATCACAATCACGCCATGAGTAGTTAATCATGAAACATACACCACCTCCTTTCTTCTTCCTGGAGAGTTCTTTATTCCTGTCTGCACGATGAACTGAGAACCCAGCTGGCTGTATGGATGGGGACAGTATATCCCGAGAGAGCCATGATTCCGTGAAACAGAGTATGTTACAGTTCCTGATGTCTCTCTGGAAGGAGATCCTCGCCCTGAGCTCGTCTACTTTATTGTCCAGAGACAGAACATTAGCGAGTAATATACTCGGAAGCGGTGGATGGTGTGCACGCCTCCTGAGTCGGACTAGAAGTCCACTCCGAAAACCTCTTCTCCACCGGCAGCGTTTTGGAGCAGCCTCTGGGATAAGTTCAATTGCCTTGGGGGGTACGAAAAAAGGATCCAATTCGTGAAAGTCGTATTCCTGGTCGTAATGCTGGTGAGTTACCGTCGCTCTGATATCCAAAAGTTATTTTGGGCTGTATGTAATAACACAAAAAACGTTCTGGGCTAATAATGTAAGAAATAACACACAAAAAAACAAAATACTGCAAAATTGCTTAGGAACTAGAAGCTGAGCTGCCATGTCTGTCGGCGCCATCTCACCTTCCAAAAGGACAACGACCCTAAGCACACAGACAAGACAACGCATGAGTGGCTTCGGGACAAGTCTCTGAATGTCCTTGAGT